CACCAACACACACACACACAAACACACACACAAACACACACACACACCACACACACCACACACACACACACACACCAACACACACACACCAACACACACACACCAACACACACACACACACCAACACACACACACACCAACACACACACACACACCAACACACACACCAACACACACACACCAACACACACACACACACCAACACACACACACACACCAACACACACACACAGACACACAGACACACAGACACACAGACACACAGACACACAGACACACAGACACACAGACACACAGACACACAGACACACACACACACACACACGGGCGCCCGATCTTCTCGTTCTCGCAGCACCACTGCATCGCCTGCCAGGGGAGGGAGGGGGGGCCAGCGGCGGTCGGCACAAAGCGGCTGCCGGAACGCAGACGAGAGGCGCGGGGGAGCAGGCAGGGAGGGCTGCAGAGGAGAATGGATCTGTGTGGAAAGAGAAGGAGAGCGAGAGAGAGAGCGAGAGAGAGTGAGGGAGAAAGAGAGAGGGAGAGAGAGAGAGCGAGAAAGAGAGAGAGAGAGAGAGAACAAAAAGGGGAAGGGAGAGAGAGAGTCTCCGACTGCGCCATGTTCTCCTCAAACCCAGCACCAACCAAGTTCAAGATGAGAGAGGAACAGAGAGACAGCCGGGGAGAGAGCGAGACAAAGAATGAGAAAGAGAGAGAGAGAGAGAAAAAAAAAAAAAGACAGAGCGGGATCGATCCAAACCGTGTCCCTCCACGCGACGGGGGTGCACGCCCCCCGCACGGGATGCTATTTGGGCAACGAGTGGTGGCTGCATGGGAAAGCGGATGCCTCTGCCCCGAGATTCGGAGACTCGCCGGAGCTCCCGCCCGCGACACGCCGGGCCCCGAACTGCGCGCCGAAGCGAGGAGGGAACGCGGCGACGGGTGCCAGGGCATGGGCGACGGGGCCCACGTGCCCAGCGGCGATGGGCACAACGGCGGGGAGCCTCGCGACCCGTTCCAAAAAGCATGCTCACGGCAAGGGGCGGCGGAAAAGCAACCGCATAGGTCAAGGGCGCTCGCCCGCCAGCTGACTTGAAAGCGCCCCCCCATCGTCTCCTCTTTCGGGGTGCTGCACAGGGACTCCCAGAATCGCGGCGGACCAGGCCGCGAGCGTCGGCGTGGGCCGAGAAGTCCCCGAGCGTCGGGGGGGGGTAGAGCGAGATCGACGGCCACCCCGAGCGCGGGCGCCAGGCACGCCTGGAGCACAAGGGGCCGCCCCGAGGCGGAGGAAAGAGGGAGCAGGAGGGCAGAACAGCGGCAAGAGAAAGACGGGGGAGAAGCGGAACAAGGGATGGAGGGCGAGGCAAGCAGACGAGGAGAGAAGCGAAGGCACCCCCACAGGGTGCGTGACCCCGCCGGGGCCCTCGGGCAGCCTCGGCGGCGGGCCTCGGCCCAGAGGGTGAGCAGGGCGCGGCGGCCCCGCTGCGCGGCCTCCGGGAGGAGCCCGCCGCGGCGGCCGTCCGGTCGTGGCCAGATGCGGGGGGCGGGGGCGGCCGCCGACAGAGGTGCAGCGGTGGACGAGGGGCTCCCGAGAGGGACCGCTGCCGCGGTCGTCTGCGGAACAGGCCTCGGCTGTCGGCGTGCGGCGGCGCCCGCGGAGGGTGTTCGGGAGAGGCCAAGCCCAGGCGGAGCAGGCCCAGACGGAGACCGACCACTCGGTATGGCCATACGTCGTATGGACTTCGCCTCCCGTCGAGGGGTGTGCCTGCCACTCCCGCTGGGCCGGAGTGGCAGGCACGCAGAGGCTGGAGCGGCTGGGCTGCGCGGGCATGCCGTCGGCGAAGAGGACCATGAGGCAGTGCCCGTGGTGGCCCACCGCATGTCCCTGCCATCCGTTGGTACAGCCCTCCTCGAAATCAAGATCGAGTTTTTCATAATGTTGGTCGACGCGCGCAAGGCGGCCTACGGGTTGAGATGTGTTTGTGTTTGCCGTCGCCAACTTCGGCGCGAGCATTGACATGTTTTGGAGTCCTGGGGCGCCGCCACGTCGCGGGGGAAAAAATATGTTGATTTCGAGGGGGATTTAGGATCGATGGTAGAGGCCTGGAAAAATAGCGAACACGCATACCACACTCGTCGGTTCACGCGTCCCCCTATCCCTATTGCTCAAAGTTGGCGGTGGCTGGGGCTACCAGCAGCGCGGAGAGAGCTCTCTCGCGCGGCGCCGCATGCGAAAGGCTGGGGCGGCTGCGCGGGGGGCAGCCCGCGCCTCCACCTGATGGGCACGCTGCAGCGCAGGGAGGAGGAGGAGGAGGAGGAGGAGGAGGAGGAGGAGGAGGAAGAGGAGGAGGAGGAGGAGGAGAGAGGAGGGAGAGGGAGGAGGGGGAGGTGAGGAGGAGGAGGAGGGAGGAGGAGGAGAGGAGGAGAGGAGGGAGGAGGGAGGAGGAGGGAGGAGGAGGAGGAGGAGGAGAGGAGGAGGAGAGGAGGAGGAGGAAGGAGGAGGAGGAGAGGAGGAGGAGGAGGAGGGAGGAGGAGGGAGGAGGGTCCCGCGGCTGGCTAGGGAGCAGCCCCTCTGCGCGGGGAGCCGCGCGTCGCCGGCACTGGCCGTCGGTGCCGACACCGTGGCCATTGGGCCGGGCGCGGGAGCCCGCTGTGCGTGGCGGCAGGGGCCGGCAGGGGCGGCAAAAGGGGGCGCCGAGGCTTCGTCGTCGTGGTCGGGTGCTGTCCCCGCAGCGGCGTCGGCTGCGTCGTCGTCCCCGGGGTCGTTGCTGTCGGCCGCAGGGGCGGCGCAGAACATCAGGAGTAAAACGACGCGAAGATCGGGATAAAATCGGATCGGGATAACTCGAAATCTCTGAGAATCGGCGGGTTTGAAGGATGTATTGGGCGCCGCGGCCGCTCCAGAGCGTTCCAGAACGCTCTGAGAGCGCTCCGGAACGCTCTGGAGCGATTTATCCCGATCCTAGCCCTGTTTTAAGGAGAGCGTTGCAAGCGATGGCGATACAAGCAGAAGGGCTGCCATCCTCGAAGGCGAGAAGGCCGGGCCGAATCAATGCAGCGTCTGCGGCCCGAGCGCGGAGGAAGTGGCCCACTATCGTTAGCGAGAGTGGGCTTTGGCGCGAGTAGTGCGGTCCCCGCTGCGACGTCGGCCCTGGCGGCATCAAGTCGGGGACCACGGCTGACTGGGGAGCAAGCCCTCTGAGCGGGGCCGCTCGTCGTCGGCGGGCGGGCGCCGCTCGTTTGCGTCATCGTCATCGTCAGGGGCGCGACGTGGGAGCCCACTCGCGAAAAGGGTCGTTGAGGCGTCGTCGACTTCGCAGACTTCCATACTGCAGCGACGACGAAGAAGGCAGTCGCGAAAACGGGGGACGTGCATGCGGGTTGGCAACGTCGGGTCGCCCGCTTGCCGTCGGGAAGGCACACTTCCTCCCCCGCCCCTGTGCACAGAGGCTCGGGACACCCAGGGTGGATGGGCGGCTGAGGGCGGGCGACCACGGCGTTTGTCGTCAAACGACGACGCCGACGACGATGGCGACGACGACGACTGAGGGCGGGCGACGACAACGACGACGGGGCCGCTCGCGGTCAGCACTGGAATCGTCGGCGCATTATCATGATCACCGACATCGTCATCACCATCGTTATCACCAGTGCCATCACCATCATCATCGTCATCGTCCAGACGAGCACGTGCAGCTCGACGAGCACTGCAGCTCGACGCACGCAGCGAGGCCGTCCTCCAGGCCCCTGGGCACGCCGTGGCATCATGTCGAGCGTGTGGGCGACGCGGAGGGCACGGACTCCCTCGTGGCCGCCCCGCGGGACGAGACCTGGACCTTGGAGGCGCACCAGGCGTGCTGCAGGAGCTGCAAAGCGCCGGCGGCATTGAGATGGAAGGCCCGAGCCATGTCCAGCGCTTGGGACGCCGAAGGGCGCACGCGCGGGGGCGCCGCTGGGCATGATGGGAGCCTGGTGAGATCTGGCGGCCACGTTTGTTTCGGACATAAGCACGATATCTCCAGACAGGCCCTGGCCGCGAGCAGCCGTGCGTGGCCTGGCGACCCAGGCTACCAGTTGATTACCAGTATGCTTTTAAGCTCGTTTGTCTCGCGCTCCCGAGGCCCCGAGGCTGAGCCTAGCTGCTTGGCCTGGAAGGCGGGTTGGCCTGAGGCCCAGCAAGTACAAGACTGGATTGGCGTATCTGTGGAAGGCTATCGCATGTGCCCAGGCGCGCCTGGAGAGTGCGCCCGGACAGAGTGCTGCGCAGCTCGCTCGCTCGCTGGGCAGTGCCTGTGGCTCCGTGGGAGACACGGGGGTAAATGCTGTCGTCGACGTCTGCTCTAGACGCCGTTTGGTCAGGCCGCGCGAGCTCGGCGAGCATCATCGTAGTCAGCAGCAGCATCGGCTCTGCCTTCGTGCCTTCGCCTCCTCCTCCTCCTCCTCCTCCTCCTCCTCCTCCTTCTCCTCCCCTTCCTCCTCCTCCGCCAGCTGCTGTAGCTACTGCTGTCGCTGTGCAGCCTGCTGCAGCACCTCGTCGTCGTCCTCCTCCTCCTCCTCCTCCTTTCCTCGCTCTGCTCCTGCTCCCCCGCTCGTGTGCGGCCTGCTGCAGCACCTCGTCCGAGCCAAACTGTCCTGCTCCCCCGCTCGTCTGCGGCGAGCCTTCTTCTTGCCTGGGCTGATGCTACCAGTGACGTTGTCGAGGCCCTTGCAAGTGTACCTACGCGCGACAGAGGGGCATCCTGGGCGAAGAAGGGTGGAAAGGCGAAAGCTAAACTGATACACAGTGTTAGATTGCCGTCGGCATGTGAGGGGCCGGTCAGGCTGCCCCCTACGGCCTCATGTCCATCCCCTGTGTAAATGTCACGACAATCGCCGAAAGAGAAACGAATGTTGTTCTAGCACTCGCCCCGCCTAGGAGACGCAGGATAGTCCCCCTATCTGCATTGTCCTCCTCATCCTCCAACTCCCATTCCTTCTCCTCTCTATGGTGATGCCGACGGTCGGTTAAAATCCTCTTTCGGTTAACAGGGGAGGCTTGAAGGCACGTTTGCGTTCGCCGTAGGGGGCTGAAGGCTAGGCTCGCGCTCTGCACACATCTTGCGTTTGAAACCAAATTCGTTTCCCCGTGGACTGCTGGAAGGCTCCCGCTCGAACAAGTTCGGAGGTGGAGAGCATCTCTGCTCTTTGCCATGGGTTCACATCCAGCGCTGTAATCCCGTCCTTTTTGCTGGTATCGATCTTTTCTCGCTGTTTGAATACAGGGAGCGGAGATGCGGGGGCCGGGGCCGCCTGGGGTAGGGACAGAAGCACTGTGATGACACCGCGACTCCAAACAAGAAAGGGAAATCGTTCACAACGACACATTGCGATCCTTAGGAGCGAACGTCAAAAGCCGTGCTGCGTCATGTTATTCCAACGTGGTCAGCAGAAGGCGCTGCGCCCGATGTATGCATGAGAGGTGGGCGCGAGGACGAGGAGTGCCAAGTGAGCAAGGTGGCACTAAGCGCGCCAGGTGCGCTGGTAACTCTTGCGACGGGAGCCGCGCAACAACCAAATCATTCAACACACCCGGAAACACGACGCAACGCAACGAGATTCCATCCACACAGAAATTCATGAAAAGTCAGGTTGTGCGAGCGTGGGAGGTCATTGTCCCAATAGTTCTCCCACAGTGAAATGGCCATTGGTATAACAATTGTTGGAAACGAGTGTTTGCCGTGTGTTGCTGATGGCATCGATTATTACATGCGCTCATGTCAGCGTTATGAGCAGCCGCCCCGAGGCTAGGGTACCCCGTCTTGAACTGCCTTGGGGCAGTGCTGGGCCACTATTGGCTTGTGTTGAACCCACCAATGGTGGACTCGGGCAATGTATGCCTTTACTTGAGACCATGGTGGAACCATCCTACAACCCATGCCGTTGTATTGAGACTTAGGTTGAGCCATGTATTGCGACCCCCCGCGGGCCACCAGGGTGGCCGTCGTGTCAGCGGGTGTACCATAGCTTGCGCTGCAAACTTCACGGACATCCAAATCGTCCGTTGCCTCATTCAATGTCTTTCAAACTGCTCCATCAATTCGTTCACACAACAAGAAAACAAACAACAAAAAAGTGGTCATTAAGGGAGCATTCCGTAGATTGCGCCGCAGGTTGCGCCCAACAACCCCACGGGCTACCAAATCGCACGTTGCCCCTATATGTCTGCGTTCCACAAGTTGCGCCATAGGTTGTGGCATTGGTTATGCACCATTAAGTACGCCAGACACCCCGCGGGCTACCAAATCGCGATGTCCCTGGTCGGCCTACGTTTCAAAGGTTGTGTCGTAGTTTGCGCCACAGGTTGCGCCAGTCTCACTGCGACCTACCGAATCCAACCAGCCCTTTAAGGCGCAAGTGGTTGAGGCCGTGTCATCTTCAAGCCCCCCCTCTTCCTGTTCGGGGAGCGTGTACCCCTCCCCCTCCCCTCCCCTGGACCTGGACGGGAAGGGGCGTCCAAGAAGGCATCGGTTACACGGCAAAAAACATTGATGTGACTGGGGTTTTGCGCTAATGTTGGCCTCCTGGGGGGAGGGAGATGCTAGTTCAGGACCCCCTGTCTTTGATCAATATCTTCCAAGATGGCCCCAAAATGGCCCCAAGGCTCCCAAGACTGCCCCAAGAGGGCCCAAGAGGTGCTCGGGAAGTCGCAAGAGGTCCCCAATAGGCTCCCAAGAGGCTCCAAAGAGACCCCCAAGAGGCTCCAAGAGGCTCCCCCGGGCCACCCAAGATTCTCCCAGGGGCCCCCCAGGACCGCCAAGTGGCCTCCAAGACCCCTCAAAGAGGACTCCAAGAAGCTCTCAAGAGACATCTGAAGAGACTCCGAGAGGCATCCAAGAGGCCTCTAGCTATTCTGCTCACCCTCCTTATTCTGCTCACCCTCCTCCTCCTCCTTCTCCTCACCCCGAGGCCAGCTTTTAGGGCGGGCCGGGCGTTTCGCCTAAGACTTCCTCAACATCTATGACTCGGACGCTTGACAAATGACAACGGTGTCACAGATGGAGGGCGGGTCGTTTTCAAAATGTGGCTCTCGCCGTAGCGCCGCGCACATTCGTTTCACAAGTTTGCAAGGGTTTCACGGATTGAAAGCAGGTGGTTTTCAGAATGTGGTTCTCGCCTTAGAGCCGCGCACATTCATCTTTACAAGTTGCCAGAGTTTCGCGGATTGGGGGCGGGTCGTTTTCAAAATGCGGTTCTCGCCTAAGCGCCGCGCACATTCGTTTTAACAAATTGCAAGAGTCTCACGGATTGAAGGTGATTCCTTTTCAAAGTGTGGCTCTCGCCGTAGCGCCGCGCACATTCGTTGAACAAGTTGCCAGGGTTTCACGGATTGAAGGCGGCTCCTTTTCAAATCGCTTTAGCGCCGCGCACATTCGTTCTGAAAATTTGCAAGAGCTTCACAGATTGAGGGCGGCTCCTTTTCAAAATGTGGCTCTCGCCTTAGTGCCGCGCACATTCGTTTTAACAAATTGCAAGGGTTTCACGGATTCCCATGATCAACGGTCCAGAAATGGTGAAGGGTGCAACAGTTATGTTGATTCGCGGTGTTGAAGTCCCAAAAACGACGTTCTGGCACGATTCGGGATCGTCAAAACGCAGCAGTCAGGTTGATCCGTTTCGTTGAAATCCCGAGAACATTGTTTTGACATGCTTCAGGATCTTCAAACGGTTGTCTTCCAACGAGGCAGTTCCCTCAATGGAAATGAACTGTTGTATGCCTATGAAAAGGGAGCTTGGAGGGAGGGTTAGTTCCAACATCGTTGATGACTCTTGGCTTTACACTGGTCCTCATCCTCCTCCTCCTCGTCGTCCTCATCCTTCTCCAATTCCGAGCCCTCCTCCATCCTCCCCATCTTTGGGGCATGACGGCTTCCCCAGTCCGCTATGCCACTGCATGCTCCTCCACATCCATGATCAGGGCAAATCGCCTGGGCATCGTTTCTCGATGGGCTGGTGGCTCTCCCATCTGTCTGTCTACATTCCATCGGTTGCGCCACAGGGTGTGTCAGACACCCTCGGGGGCTACCAAATCGCCAATTCCACTGAATGCGTACTTGCCATGGGCTGTGCCGCAAGCTGCGCGCCACAAATTGCGGCAAAACACCTCGCGGACTACTGAGTGGCCACCTCCCTGGTCAACGTCTGATTAACGCAATAGGCGCCAAGGATTGCGCCACATAATCCCGCGGGCTACCTCGCATGGGTTGCGCCGGACGCCCCGCGGGCTGCCAGATCGCGATGTCCCCAATGCGTCCACGTTCATGGCCTGCGCCGTGGGTTGCGGCCGAACACCCGGCGGGACACCCGATCGGGCCGCCGAACTCCGCGTGCCTTCCAGCATGCGCTGTTTTGGGAAAGATCTTGAGCCATGAAGGCCATCCTAGTCCAATGAGGAGATATCAGGGCAAACCTATGACAAGTATGAGACCACTGAGGCGCACCTTATGTGAAGCAACTGATGCATTTTTCCCTACCTGGGCTCTGCCTAGAAGGCTTCTTACTCTTTTTGCTTAAAGGGGCCGGGCAGTGTAAGCCGCCCCGGGCGGTTCCCCCGGTCCCCTGGGAGCCAAGCAAAAGCAACAGCAAAGGTAAAAGCAAACGCGCGGTTCCCCCAGTTGCGCTCCCTGGGTGCCAAGCAAAAGCAAAAGCAAAGGAAAAAGTAAAGGCAAAAGCGAAGGCAAAGCAAAATCATAGCATAGCATAGCATAGCGCAGCATAGCATAGCGCAGCATAGCATAGCATATCATAGCCTAGTCTAGCCTAGCCTAGCCCAGCATAGCATTTCGCAGCATAGCATAGCATAGCACAGCACAGCATAGCATAGCAGAGCGGATCAGAACATAGCATAGCATAGCATAGCGCAGCACAGCATCCACTATTGCTGCTGCTATATTTCTACTACTACTACTACTACTACTACTACTACTACTACTACTACTACTACTACTACTACTACTACTACTACTACGACTACGACTACGACTACGACTACGACTACGACTACGACTACGACTACGACTACGACTACGACTACGACGACTACGACTACGACTACGACTACGACTACTACGACTACGACTACGACTACGACTACGACTACGACTACGACTACGACTACGACTACGACTACGACTACGACTACGACTACGACTACGACTACGACTACGACTACGACTACGACTACGACTACGACTACGACTACGACTACGAGTACGACTAGGTCTACGACTACGAGTACTACTACTACTATTACTACTACTACTACTACACTACGAAGACGACGACGACGACGACGACGACGACGACGACGACTACTACACTACTACTACGGCTATACGACCCCTACTACGGACTACTACTACTGCCCACACTACTACTACTACTACTACTACTACTACTACTACGACGACGACGACGACGACGACGACGACGACGACGACGACGAAGACGACGACGCGACGACGACGACGACGACGAGACGGACTACGGACGACGACGACGACGACGACTACTACTACTACTACTACTACGACTAACTACTCCTACTACTACTACTACTACTACTACTACTACTACTAGTACTCTACTCTACTCCTACTAACTACTACGACTACTACTACTACTGACTACTAACTAATAACTCTACTACTACTACTACTACGACGACGACTGCTACGACTA